CAACCAAGAATTGTTCAAGGTGTTAAAGGATGTCAGAAAGCAATGTAAGAAGGTGAGCAGGCCACATGCTCTCCTGGTATCCAGACAATTAGAATTTCCTGTAAGTCCATTTTAGATGCAACCCTCACTTCTGGGGTAAAGGTATATATCCTTTTACACAGTGACATCACCATTCAACACATACCCAAAGAAAGTCAAAGACAGAGAGGGAAGGGTCCATACCTACAATAATATTCATAAAGGCACTTTCTGATATAACAAGGAACTAGGTTAACATAGATACGGGTTATATAAGATCTTTACTACTAAATGGAGTAACCAAATAGGTAAGTGTCCTCAAAACAATATTAAATTTTAGCTTTCCTCATAGCCTTGAGATCAAGGATTATACTCTCCTTCTGTACTACACAAACATCAAAAAGTAGAAGAGCTTTGAACTTGGCGTCCTTTGTCCCCAATCTCAGTACGCCTTCAGAACCTCCCTTTTTCTACAGAGGGCAGCCTTACGGTCATCTTTGACCCCTGATTTCTCTCACATGCTCTGCATTCCCCAGTGAGCCAAGATTCATTGATTCTACCTCTACTACAGTTCTCTGATCTACCTCCATCTCTTGGCTCAGACAGCCACTGCTCTGGTTCTGGAATTCATTACTACAGACAACAGCCTATTAACTGGGCTCCGAGCCCATACCTTGCAATTCAACCTCCACATAGCTACCAAGGTGATATTCCTAAAGCATAGTTTTGACCACATCACTCTGTTGTTGCTCAGTAAATGCTGGTTATCTCTGGAGTCAACTAAAAACTCTTCTGGCAGGTTTAAAGCCCATCATAATCTGATTCTAACTGCCTATTAAAAAGCCAAAAAGAGGGGCAGCTAGGTGGCACAGTGGATAGAGTGCTGGCCCTGAAGTCAGGAGGATCTGAGTTCAAATCTGGCCTCAGATCAAACACTTGACACTTACTAGCTGTGTGACCCTGGGCAAGTCACTTAGCCCCCAACTGCCTAAAAAAAAAAAGCCAAAAAGAGAGGGGGAAAGCAATCAGAGTCCAAAAAAAAAGACAGAGAATCTTAAGAAATTAGCAGCCATGGGACCAAACATCAGAAACTTTTGGAATCAGAAAAATGGGGTTCCAAAAGATAGAACTTCCGAAATTGGTGAGGGCATTATCAAACCTCACCTCAAAAGTCCTCAAAAGCACAGAATATCTTCTGTCTGGGTATGTGTGTATCTGGATATAAAATAGGCACCTGGACCCTAATTGCTTCAGAAGGCACAGGTTTTGTCTATTTTATGTGGCAAATAACCACTTAAATTGCAATAGGCCAGAAATGCCAACGATACACCTGATACACCTCAGCTACTGGGAGACTGACACACAATCTCTAACAGCACACTGATAAAGTAGGTCACAACAGGTATTATAGAATACTGTAACCTGTACCGCAGTGTATATATAAGCAGCAGAACAGAACTGCAATTGTATCTTAGAAGTCACCCTATATAATATGACCTTATCAGGACAGCAGCATACATAAAAGTAGCAACAGAGTTGTACAGATGTCACTGTATAATATGGACAGCAAACTTCCTCTAGTGAGATAAAGGGCAGTAGAATAAGAAAGCTGCATTAGGCTTAAAAGAGAAGATAGGAATCTGCATATGACACAAAAAGGGCAAATAGAGTAAAATGCTGATGAATCAGTACAACATTGATTCAGCTCTCTTTGATGACATGAAGGCTCAGCAAGGTCAGCTATTCAAATTATTTGCAGACAGCCTACTCTTTAACAGCACTATACTTTGTAGCTTCCTAAATTAGAGTACCTAGACCATATTTTCATGGTTTGTAATTTTAAAAATTTGAGGAGACCTCTATCTTTGGCCCTATGTTAACTGAAGAGTCATAAGATTAGCTTGAGCAAATGCAGTTGATGATAATAAAGGTAACATTCATATAGCACTCTAATACAACAAACCTATGAGACAGGTAACATAAGCATTTTTATGCTCACTTTACAGATGAGGAAACTAAGACTCAGAAACATATAAATCGTCGTTGGCGAAGTCAGGACTTCAACCTAGGTTTTCTGATGTTAAATCTTTCCACTGTACTAAGATACCACCTTCCATCGTATGTCATACATGTCTCCTGAAGAATGAATTTTTCAACTGAAACTGAGATAATGCACTAAAGCCTAGACATACATAGTTAAAAAAAAAACTCTAACAACTACAATGTAAGATACACCATAAGAATTCTGTGACGTTTCTGAGCAGTCTTATCCCCTGAACAGTTTTATAATGTTAATGACATGGGTCTCTCTTAGCAATGCTTGCCAGCTTCTAAGCTGGCAGGTACTAGGGAATTATGTGCCCCAGAGAAGTCTAATATAGAATGTCAACTTTTCTTTTTACATATGATAATGCTTGAAGGAACATTCCTCCTTCAGAGTCTAAGAAGAAAATAAGAGCAAGTGACGGAAAAGAGTAGGTACATGTGGTTGATTATGTTAGTGATGAAGAAATGACTAATAATGTTTTGAAAGCTGCTGCAAAGTTAAAAAGGCCATGAAAGCAACAGTCAAGATGCCTTTCTGGATGGTTAAAAAAACAAACAAACCCAACAACCAACAGGGAGAAACTTACTTTGGTCTCTGATTCAATAAACCATGTTTTAGAAAGGCAGTCACGTTACACCACCCAGGAAATGACATATCTGCACTCTTTGTGATCAAAGATCAGTGTAAATGATCTCCAAACAAGCTGATATCAGAAATTTTTTCAAGAAGACAAGTAATACAAAGTCTTCTTTTCAAGAAGACCAGTACTGCAGTTAGTCCCCATTCAGTATTATATCCCAGCACCATATACCTAGAGCAAATATGGATCAAATGAGATTATCTGTAAGGGACTTTGAACTTCAGAGTACTATAAAAATATAAACTCTTAAGATTATAAAAACAAACTGAGTGATCATAAAAAGGTTAAATATGTTCTATGTATGCTGTTTAAGAAGACAGGGTGCCTATTAAATAATTCAAAAAGATTTTCATTTAAAAAAAAAGCTATTTCAAAAAACTTTTCCATCACCGAAAGGGTTAACTTCTGTCACTCCAGACAACTCTGTCCTTTAGAATAACTCTCACTCCAAGATTTCTGGAAAAAAAGATGTATTTCTCTACTTGGCTTTGGTCATATATAGATAGATAGATAGATAGATAGATAGATAGATAGATAGATAGATAGATATATGTGTGTGTGTGTGTATGTGTGTATATATATATATTTACACACACACACATACACACACATGATTCCTGAATCCTCACGTTTAGCACAGTGTCTGACATGAAGTAAGTATGAGGTAACAAATGCATGTTCACTTGCATCTAGATGATACGCAAAGGAAACTCAGCCCACTCTCACCCTTGTGCCTCTCTCCTAAGGAAACCTCTCTACGGTTTCTTAATCCAAGGCCTGTGAACTTCAAAAAAAATTGATAACTATATTTCAATATAATTTGTTTCCTTTGTAATCCCATGTATTTTATGTCAATTTAAATACACTATTCTGAGATGGGGTCCAGAGGTTTCGCCAAGCACCCAAAGGAGTCCATGACAAAAAAAAAAAAAGGTTAAGAACTCCTAAGGAAAATTCCTGATATATGATCCCTCAATTCTCCTACTGACTTAAGGCAGGTATTTTGGGAGGCTTGTACAAATACCCAGTTTCATGCAAAAACAATTAAATTCTAATGTTTAATAATTTTTCTACAAGTGATTATAATGATGTCCAAATGACACCTGTCAACATAATTTCTAAAAATGTATACCATAATCTAAAATCAAAATCAAGATTGTTTTAAAAATTTAATACTGCTACAATCGTAGCTAAAAGGTTAAAACCAGTGCCTGACACACGTGCTTAATAAATGGTTACTGACTGAACTTAAAAAGAAAAAAAATAGGAGAAGGGGTTTGGGTAACAGGCCTCCAGAGTTTTAGAAATCTTCGTTAGTTTCAGTGTTATCATTAGGAACATACAGACTCAGAATTTTTCCCCAAGCATTTCATCTCCAGCAATATAGGGGGTAAAATCAGAATAGGGTAAATGGACATAATGCAAACTGGCAAAGGTCAACGGGAAACCCCATTTGGTCAGAAGAATTCTAAAATATCAGGCCTCATGGCAAACACAATTAAATTATCAACAGGATAACAGAGGAATCTGCTCCCCACAGCTCAGACTGGGCACAGGCCAAATGTGTCAATATATGAAAATAAACAACAAAGACAGAACTTCCTAAGACTTTTAGCTGAATGGTAAGTTTGGAAGGGAGAAGGAATAATGGCTGAAAGCATCACAGGGCAGGGGCAAGGGAGAAGTACGCCCAGTGATGAAATTCTGCATTTCCAGGAAAAGGGAGAATTTTAGCTACTTTATATAATGCCAGCCTATCCCCCACAGTTCCTAGTCAAAAATCTGGGGATACTTAGACAAACCTAGGTTTCTCCTATGTCATTTCTGAGCCTGGAAAGGCAAAAACTGCAGGTAGGGCTAAGAGTAACAGTGTTAGTCTTTAAATATATACTAAGGCAAATGGGATGAGTCTTTCTTTATAAGAAGAAAATTATTTTATATCATAGTTTTTTTTGGTTTTGGTTTTTTCTTTAGGCAATTGGAGTTAAGTGACTTGCTCAGGGTCACACAGCTAGTTAAGTGTCAAGTGTTTCGTCTGGGTCCAGATTTGAACTCAGGTCCTCCTGACTTCAGGGCTGGTGCTCTGCCCACTACACCACCTAGCTGCTCCTTTATATCATAGTCTTTAATAAAATTTTCCCTTTCTAGTTGATTGACCTTGAATTTTATCATCCCAGAAACACATCTGATTTCAATTTGCAAAACTAATGGCACAACTGATCATTTAAATTGTCAAAGAAAATAAACCATTTTTAAGGAACTCACAGCAATTTTAAAAACTGTGATTCATCTTACCGTTCCTTCATCAGCAAATCTCCTGAGATAGTCTTTAAGTTCAGTCTTTAAATCATTATATTCTAGAAGAGAAAAAAATACACACACACACACTCAAGTTAACTTCAGTGAAGATGCATCAGCTATAAAATGCAATCTTTCTGTCACTGTGTTTGAATAGTCTTGCCTATTAGAATTTTAAAACCAGAATTATTTCTCTTAGACAAAACCCAGAAGTTCATTCTACATATTATCTAAATTCTTCTAAACTCCCTTCAGCTTCACCTCAGGAACCCCAGTCTTAAAAAAGTAGAGATTTAACTCCAAATATGATTAGCCAAGAAATTAGGTAAAAGCTTTTTTGTTTCTCCACAAATCTAATCTTTGGGAAAATCCAGATATGTCACAGGTTCAATCTCTAAATCCACACTACTATACCCATGATAAAACATTTCAAAAAATACATCTACTGAAAACTTTGGACTCTACTATATGCTTAGCTGCTAGTAGAAAAAAGACCGCATCATAACGAATGCATAAATATCATATCTGTCTTAGGAAATCAAAAAATCTGGTGGGAAAATTAAACTCCCAACAATTTATATTAATGGACACACAAAGACACACAATACTTCACAGCACTCATAATACACATTTAGGTAAGTATATGACAGAGAGGGGGAAAAGAGAAAATTTTACAGGAAGAAAACTTTAGGTCGACAATGTTACAGTGAAAGATTCTTAAAAGATCATTTATCTTCTCATTTTAGAAACAGGGAAATTAAGGCCTAAAGATTAAATGACCAGTCCAAAGTCATAAAACTTTAAGTGGCTGACTTAGGACTCAAACAGGCCTGTTGGTTACTTTTTTCTCACTACACCTGGAATGTAAGAGCTTGGTACAAGTCAGCTGCTGGAAGGGGAAAAGAGAGGAACAGTACAGCAAGAGGGAGTAGGCTCTCGTCAAGAAAGAAATCTGACGGGGTCAGCTAGGTGGCACAGTTGATAGAGCGCCAGCCCTGGATTCAAGAGAACCTGAGTTCAAATCCAGCCTCAGACACATAACACTTATTAGCTGCGTGACCCTGGGCAAGTCACTTAACCCCACTGCCTAAACAAAAACCAAAACAAAAAGAATCTGAAGGCTGGAAGTTTGCTACAAGACAAGTTGTTCTAGAAATGCAGGACAAATTAATGAACAGTGGATGCTGAAAAGGTAGAATTCTGCAGGAACTTGCTGAAGTTACTCTGGATAAAAGAAGGCTCTGGGGAGGGAGAAAATCACAGAAATAGCAAAAATTCCATTTCTAACTGGAAATTCTAATTGCTATTAAAAATTCTAATTCTATCTAACTAATAAAAATTCATAACAAAGTAGGATTGTTTCTTATCAGGAGCAAACTGAAGAACAATGTCAGGGCACTGACATGATTTGAGTAGCGCTGGATGAAAATTATTTCAGGAGATGAAAAGAGAAATGGAAGAAACTGATTTTGTTATATTTTCTGTTACTTCTATGTCCACACTTATTCAAAACAGCACATTTTGTTATTTTTCAAGCATGCAATCATTCTGGAATGCAGTTTTGTTATAATGATTAGAACAGTCAAAAACCAGTATAACATTAAAAAAAAAATTAAACAACAGTAGTGACATATGATATCATAATCACACACCTTCTATATAACTTGCCCTTTTCTATCACTCTTTGTAGTTGGTATGATAGTATACTTAGAGAATCCTAGAGAATCAACTAAAAACTAGCTGAAATAATTAACTTTAGCAAATTTGCAGGACATAAAATAAACCTATATATCACTAGCATTTCTACATAATACCAACAAAGTCTAGCAACAAGAGGAACAGAAATTCCGTTTAAAATAACTGCAGACAATCTAAAATACTTGGGAGTATTGTCCGCCAAGACAAACCCAGGAACTACATGAACACAATTATAAAACACTTTTCACACAAATAAAGTCAGATCAAAACAATTGGAGAAATATAATTGCTCATGGGTAGGCTGAACAATATAATAAAAATGACAATTCTATCTAAATTAATTTACTTATTTAGCGCCAAACCAATCAAACTACCAAAAAGAATTTTTATAGAGCTAGAAAAAATGACAAAATTCATCTGTAAGAACAAAGAATCAAGAACATCAAGGGAATCGATGAAAAAAAGGTGAAGGAAGGTGGCCTAACGGTACCAGAACTCAAACTGTATTACAAAGCGGTAATCACGAAAACAATCTGGTACTAGCTAAGAAATAGAGTGGTAGATCAGTGGAATAGATTAGGTACACAAATACACAGTAGTAAATGACCACAGTAATCTAGTTGGTTTGATAAAACCCAAAGATCCAAACTTTGGGACAAGAACTCACTATTTGACAAAAATTGTTAGGAAAACTGAAAAGCAGTTTGGCAGAAACTAGGTACTGACCAACATCTTACACTGTATACCAAGATAAGGTCAAAATGGGTACATGATTTAGGCATAAAGGGTGGTATCATAAGCAAATTGGGGGAGCACAGAAAATTTTACCTGTCAGATCTATGGATAAGGGAAGAATTTATAATCAAATGAGAGACAGAGAACATTATGAGATGCAAAATGGCTAATTTTGATTATATTAAATTAAAAAGTTTTTGCACAAACAAAACTAATGCAGCCAAGATTAGAAGGAAAGCAGAAAACCAGGAAAAAATTTATAGTAAGTTTTTCTGGTAAAGCCTCTTTCTCAAATACATAAGAGAACTGAGTCAAATTCATAACAATATAAGTCATTCCCCAACTGATAAGTGGTCAAAGGATATGAACAGGCAGTTTTCAGAAGAAACAGAAGAAACCAAAGACACCTATAATCATATGAAAAAAATGCTCTAAATCACTATTGGTTAGAGAAATGTAAATTAAAACTCTGAGATACCACCCTCACACCTATCAGATTAGCTAACACGACAGAAAAGGAAAATGACAAATGTTGGAGGAGATGTGGAAAAACTGGGACGCTAACGCACTGTTGGAGTTGTGAACTAGTCTGACTGCTCTGAAGAGCAATTTGGAACTATGCCCAAAGGGCTAGAAAACTGTGAATATCCTTTGACCCAGCAATATCACTATTAGGTCAAGCTCCCAAAGAGATTAAAGAAAAAGGAAAAGGACCTATACGTACAAAAATATTTACAGCAGCTCTTTTTGTGGTGAAGAAGCAGAAATTGAGGGGATGCCCATCAACTGGGGAATGGCTGAGCAAGTTGTAGTACATGATTGTGATGGAATGCTATTGTGCTATAAGAAATGATGAGCAGGATGCTTTCAGAAAAACCTGGGAAGACTTAAACAAACTGATACAAAGTGAAGTTATCAGAAGTAGAACACTGTACAGAGTAACAGTAATACAATAATCCAAGACAATTCCAAAGGATGTATGATGAAAAATGCTATCCACCTCCAGAGAAAGAACTGATGGAATATGAATGCAAATTGAAGCACACTTTTTTGCTTTCTTTTGCAACATGGCTAACATAAAAATATGTTCTGCATAACTACACATGCATAATCTATATCAAACTGTTTGCCTTCTCAAGGAGGGGGATGGAGAGAGGGAATTTGGAACTGAAAAATTGCCTCTGTACAGGTCAGTTTATATAATGAGATATGCTTTATAATATTACCAAATTCCACTTTTGAGATAATATTTACCACAGATAAGTTCCACTTGCTGGACTCTATTCATGCTGTTAAGTGTATCCATTAAAGGGTCTCTCCTATCTGTTCCCTGGTCACTTTTGCCTTTGTTCTCATAAGCCAGGACTGTGTCATATTCATCTGTCAGGAATAAGACTTCTAGATCTGCATACATTTTCTTTAAAGATAAAAATAAAATTATCATTAGAATTTACTACCCTCAGACCTCAATCTCATGAAAAATTAATAAATTATCATCTGATAGTTTTAATCAATGAGAGAAGTTGGGGGTACCTGGTAAGAAATCTAAAAGCCTATAATGAAGGGGAAATGTTTTATTTTCTTACCATGCAGGTCACTAGAAACCACAAAAGTTATCTGAAGAACATCAAAAAACACACATGCCCTGTAGCATGAGCCCCACCAGCAGCCACAACAGTTTTTAGTATAACTGAGGAGTTCTACTGCAACAATGATTCTTACTAAATACCTCAGAATTAGTCCAAGTCATCTTCCAAGAGGCTGGAAGAATTTGGGCAAAAAGAACAGATTATTTCCAAACTAAGTTAAGAACCTGTGTTCTAAACCAAAATTCACAGGGGAACAAGAGTCAAAGAGGAAAATATTATATGGTTCTAAATTCCTGCTATGACTATATTCTTGATATCAATTTCAAAATATGCCTTCAGTTCTTCTCATTTTAAAAACCTATTCCCCAAACAATCAAAAACTAACTAGACTTAATACTCACCATACAGTCACTACAGGTACATAACTTGTTACGCCAGTTATGGGGCCAATAGGTGGCAGTATCTTGCTTTACATACTTCTTGGTCCTTAGCTCCTGTAGTCTGCAGCCTGAATGGGATTCTGTATTCTGATGTTCATTCATGGAAACTGTCTAGATTAAAGTGAAGCACCAGGTTTTTTTTTTCTTGCCATTTTAAAAACCACTATAGTTTCATTCCTTACTTTAAATTTTGCAAAACTGCATTCTTTGGATGCAAAATAGTATAAGCATTTAAAGTATTATTATTATAGACCATTAAATTATTATAGATCTAATTGAAAAATAATTACTAAATTATCTATATTTTAATTATATTGATTTTATTATAATGAAATATCTTTAATTTATATATCAAGTTAGTCCACACAATGTTTCATATTTGCATATTAAAATTAAACTTATTTAGCTTAAGTGTTGACTTTTTCATAGCCCATAATACCCCTACCTAGCATTAATATGATTCTTACTTGTAGATCAGATTCAGAACCAGAGCTAGTAGATGGTTCATCAACTTGCTCTACTTTATTCTCCTCCCTGACATCTTTTCCCTTTTCTAGGACACTCTCTTCAGGGATACTTTCATGATGATTTGCTCCATTTTCAGCCTTGATGACTTTCTGGTCGTCTGTTCCATCCACATTCAGCACCCCATCATCTTCAGCAGTTATTATTTTGGTGACTGTAGGTACTAGGAGATAATTATCCATATAATTGTCAGATAGAAATTCTTCTGTCTCGTGACAAAATTACTTGCATAGCTTAGGAAGGGAGAGCACTCTACAAAGTGGACAGAAATAAAACTAATAACTAATTCCCATACTTTGAGGATTATAATAGCCTAACTTTCAACAAGATTCACCTTTATGAGCTCAAATGTAGTCTCAGAAATTTACTAGCTATGTGACTCTGGGCAAGTCATTTAACCATGTTTGCCTCAGTTCCTCATCTGTAAAAATGAGCTGGAGAGGGAAATGGCAAACTACTCCAGTATCTTTGCTAAGAAGACCCCAAATGGAGTCAATGAAGTATTGAACACAACTGAAAAACAACAACAACAACAAAAACTGAACACAGAATTGGGCTGTTTCTTTCATAATCTATCCATGTTCTTACCAAGCATTTACTAGGTACAAGGTATTACATTAAGTGCTATGGGGTGATACATAGGGGAAAGAAAGAGTCCCTGGCCTTCAAAATAACTCCTAATTTGTTTAGAATGGTAGAGGATCTTCATATAAAAATATAATAATTCAAAATAACCTATGATAATTTACATTTATACAAGATTTGCAAAGCATTTTGCTCAAATCAATCCTGTGAGGTAGGTAGTACAAAATATTATCATCCTCATTTTAGAGATAAAGCAAAATGAGGCTCTCAGAGCTTAACTAGCTTAATCAATATCACACAGCTACTAAGCATTTGGGGCGGATTTGAATCTAGGTCTACTGATTCCAAATCCAGCATTCTTTCTACCACACCATAGTACAACACACACACTCTCTTTATCAAATGAGGCAGTAAACCACGACAATGGTCTTGAGTGGTCGAGAAAGGATTTCATGGAAGAACTAAGATTTCAGCTGGGACCTGAAGGACAGATACCTCTTAAGAGAGGTAGAGATGAGAGACTATTGCAATTAGAGATGTTGAGGGTTGTGCACAGAACTTAAGAATTTAAAAGGGCCTCAGAAAACATTTGATCTAAGTCAGATCTGAGACCCCCTCTACAACATCCCTTGTCAAAGGGGTCATCCAGTCTTCACTTGAAGATATTCAGTGAAAAAGAACTATCCATTTCACCCCTATTCCTACCTCAAGTAACCCACTCCATTTTGGGATTTGACTTTGTGCAGAAACTACCTCTCTTCAACTTCTCTCTCCAGCTCCTAGTTTTGCCTCTGGGCTAAGCATGCCAAGGTTAAGCTTGCCACACAGAAGTCCTTTAAATACTGGAAGACAATTATCAGCTGGGGTGTGCTGGAGCCAGCTCTAAAGGGCTGGCAAGAGCTAGTAAATTTTCAGTGTAAATATTGCTATAAATTAGGGCTTGACTTAGTTTTGTCCATTGTTTAGACTTTAAAACTGCTAATAATGCAGATTAAACTTAAAAGTATTTGTGCATACATTCCTCCTCCCCTCTCTACTTCACCATTAAACATTAGCCAGCACAGCCCTTTATCTCTATAAACAGCTTGAGCTTAGCAGAAGTGTGGGAGGCGGCTCGGGGAATGAAGTCATCACCAAACTGGAGGCTAATAACATAATAAGTGGGATTTACACAGCACTTTAAATTCATTATCTCATTGAAGTCCCACAATATCGGACTATTAAGGGATACAATGAAGGAACAGTAGAGTAAAATGGAGGGCTGGACAGGGCCACAAAGAGCTTCTAATCTAACCACCTAAAACAAGGCTCCCCTTCAGAGTATTGAAACAATTGGTTTTCCCCTTAGTTTTTTTGACAAATGATCTAGAAACTGCTAATTTTCACAATACTTTACTTCTTTTTGGCCGCCCCCCCCCCCCCCCCGCAAAAAAAAAAAAAGTTTTCTGCTACATAAGAAGATTCAAATCTATCACTTTATCAGTCCTGGTATGAAAACTCTTACCAATACAATACCAATACAAATTAGCAATTCATCTATAAATTACAATATCCTCCACCCCCACCCCCATTAATGTAGAGGGTTACACACCCTCCCAGTTCCTCAGGCTCACAATCTAGGAGTCAAAGCTGTTATCAGGGTCTGTCAATTGCACCTTTGCACAATCTCTTCAATAACCCCCCTTTCTCTCCTCTGACACTGCCACCACTCTACTACAGCTCCTCATCACTTCATGTCAGGACTATTTCAATAGCCTAACAGTAGGTCTACCTGCTTCAAGTCTCCACACACACTAATCCATTCTCTATTCAGTGATTTTCCTAAAGCACACAGGTCCAATCATGCCATGCCAGCCACCACTCCAGTGGCTCCCTATTGCCTCCAAGATCAAATACAAAATGCTTTGTTTGGCATTCAAAGCCCTTCATAACCTGCCACCTCCTATCTTTCTAATCTTCTTACACCCTTACTCCACTTTCTATCCAGTGACACTTGTCTCCTGGCTGTTCCATGAACAAGATACTCCATCTCTCAGCTGCAGGTATTTTCTCTGGCTCTCTCCCATCCCTGGACCTCCCTAGCTTCCTTTAAGTTCCAACTAAAATTCCATCTTTAAGTTCAACTAAAGCTCCAATTAAAATCCCAACTTTTACTGGATGTATTTCCCAAGGCCTCTTAATTCCCTCTGTTAATTATTTCCTATTTATCCTGTATGTAGCTTGTTTGCACATATTTGTTTGCATGTTGTCTCCTCCACCAGATTGTGAGCTTGAGGGCAAGGACTGTCTTTTGCCTCTTTTTGTGCCTGGCATATAGCAGGTGCTTGGTAAATATTTATTGACTGAGTCTCAGAAAATTTCCTGGGGCATTGAGAAATTAATTTTCTCCATGGTCACGCAGATATTGTGCATCAGAGGCAGGCCTTGAACCCAGATCATGACAAAGATGTTGGACCTTGGAATCAAGAAGACCTGAGTTCAAATCTGGCCTCAGACACTTATTAATTGTATGACGCTGAACAAGTCACTTCACCTCTATCTGCCTCAGTTTCCTCACCTGCAAAATGAGGATAATAACTTATTTCACAGGGTTGTTGTGACATCAAATGAGATAATGTAGCAAAAGTGCTTTGCAAACCTAAAAGTACAAGATAAATGTTAGCTATTAAGATTATTTTCATCTATCAAAGGTCCAGAAAAAAAATTTAAAAGATCCTACTATAGTGGAAGTTATTAGAGGGGTAGGGATTGACAACGAAAAAGAACCGATATCTTCAGCTGCTAACACATTTTTCCATTAGTTTAGCTCAGACCCATCACTTGTTGGACATCAAGCATGCAAAAAGGCCTCTCTCTCAGGTTAGAAACAGTGATATGTATTCACAGAGAGGTGTAAACTGACAATGTAGGTCAATCAGTTCAAGACTTGGAGCAGGCCAAGGTCCTGGATACCTGATAACTTTTGACACCCAACAGAAGGCTCTCCAAGGTAAGGTAGGGAGGATTTTAGGGGTATGAGGGTTCATGTCCTTGACCCATAGGTCCCATAAACAGAAAAAAAGAATGGGATTTAGAGTTGCAAACACTCTATTTTGGTCCTAACTCTGCTAAAAGCATAGCTACAGATGATTAGACATTACTTAATCCAACCTTCTCACTTTACAGATTAGGAAACCAAGGCCTAGTGAGCAGAGTGATTTGGTGCCCAAGATTCCACAGGAGAAGCATGCACAATGGGGCTGACTCCAAGTCTCCTCATTCTAAGTTTATTACTTCTCTCACTGGGCCACACCAAGTAGCTTCCAGGGGACTCTGAGTCCCCTGTGGCTGGAGTGGAGAGCCTAGCTGGGAAAGCAGTGGAAGCAGCATTTGAAAGGGAAAATTGGGATATGATTAGAGAAGGCCAAACAGTATGGACTATATATTATTCTGGCACTACAGGTTTCTAAGCAGTAGAGTATTATCGTAAAAGATGAATCTGGCCCAGCTGTATCACCTAAGAGACAGGTGAGACTGGTGACAGTGAAACCAGGCAGGAACTGACTTCAGTAATTCTGGTATAAATCAATAAAAGCCTGTGGTGATGATGGTAAGGATTAGAAAGGAAGAAAAGGATGCTCACTGTGAAAGAAGGAAAGCAGTACTAATGAGTAATATGAGAGGAGAAAGGTGTAAGTAGTCTCCAACTTTCAACAAAGCCTTTTTTGATGTCTACTGAAGTGATACTCTAAATGACACAGCTAAAGCTATGTTCTCTACTACTATCTATTTTCTAAAGGTGCATAAACCAAATGACAGCTTGATTTGCAGGTTAAGTTAACATTAAGAGTCTGGAAATATGAAAATAGAGATATTTACCTGCTAACTGTGCAGCATAAGCCCACAAAAAGGAACAGTGTTTCATGCAAGCTTGGCACACCATCTCTTGGAAATCCCCACTCTCAGGAGGAATTGCACCCAGATGCTGTCAATTTATAAAACAGAACGTTTCAATAATCTCCAATTCATTCAATAAATACGTTAATTTTTAAGCAAGTACTAAAGTAGTGTATTTGTGATATTCAATGTATATAATAACTTTTACAATGTCTTTTCCAAAATAGAAAACATTAATTTTTTTTTTAAAAGATCTCAGATTTTTAAAGTATTAGCTTTAAAAGATGGAAGAAATATTCCTCACCCTTCCATGGAACCAATCTTCACAAACTACACACTGGATCATCTCATCTGGAATCTAGCAAAAAATGGCAATGTTGTGATAAATAAAGATACCCAAGACACACAAATAGTTCACATGTGCAAAATTTTAAGTCATTCTGTGCTTACAGTGTCAATTAGTTGAGAACTCTTCATGAGTCCTCTATATGCCTATCTGCATAATTAGGTTTCAAATGTATATTTCAACTTAAATAATAAATGACAAAATAGATGAGAGAAATAGTGAAGCCTATAATAAATAGTACAATATCATGAAAATTAATCGGAAAATCAATGTTGAGATTAGAATCTTGTTAACAAAGGTAGCAAAGCTACACAATATAGTAGACAGGAAGTCAGACCATGGAAATCAAGATAACCTGATTTCAAGTCTTTCGTCTGAAATGTACTAGTTTTGTGACCATGGGAAAAAAAACCCACTAACCTCATAAGGGTTCAGGCAACTCTCTAAGAATATAAGCTGCAGATAAATTGCTGATCTGCCGTGGCAGGGAGATCTCATACTGGGAATTCCTTACACAAGCTCCTTACCCCAAAAGAACAGCAGTAAACGCAATAACAGAATTCTAGGATACAGAGAGGTATCTAATTTTTATATGTCTTTCTTCCACTACTTCTACCTAGTCTTTTAAATCTAAAGATAATATTCTACATGTATATTGTTTACATATATACATATTTGTCCTTTTATTTTTAAATTTAAAAACTGGCATTTTCCCTTTTATCTTCTGCCCTTATTACTTCTTCTCTTTCTCTTTATTAGTTCATTTATGGCTTCTGTCTCATTTTCTTTAAACCCACATAAATACCAAGTTTTTAATCTACACACACACACACACACACACACACACACACACACACACACACGCGCGCGACTGATTCACAGCTGTTTTCAATTTATTCTTCCATGACTTAATTTGGTAGCTGTAGTCCAAAGATAATTAGAAGGTATAGAAAAGAGACTATTTACTTAGAGTAAGACTGGAAAACGACTAAGGAGGTACCAATAATAACTGGAAAGATATAGGCTGTGGCACATTATTACACTTGAGCCTAGGGCCTCCTTGTGGTCTTAAAGAAAACCCCAAACTGCAAACTTAAATCCCGACTTTCTCCACTGTAGGGGAAAAAAGCAGCAAAGCTCAATGGAAAAAACAAGGGATTTAGAATGACAAGACCTGTGTGACCTTGGGGAAAGTGACTTTTTCCCTCTCTGGCTTAGTTTCCTATGTGGTCCCTTTCAACACAAAGATGATCCTGAAGTAATGGGAAAAATCTGTTAGGGCTTTAAGGTACCTTAGAAATCCATTTCGTTCAATTTTGTCATTTCACATATGAGAAAATTGATTTCCAGAGAGCTGAAATGAATGCCAACATGACACAACTAGTTCCTGACATAGCTGGGACTAGAGTGCAGGGGTGGGGAACCTTTGGTTTTGAGGCCACTTGTGGACCTCTAAGTCCTCAAGTGCGGCCTTTTGAATCCAAACTTCCCAGAACAAATTCCCTTAATAAAAGGATTTGTTCTGTAAAACGTGGATTCTGTCAAAAAGCTGCACATTTGGCCTTGAGGTCACAGGTTCCCCACCCCTCCTAGGTTGCTTTAACTCCACTATTTATAATATACCTGGCTGCTTCAATCATTCTAGGCCCTTAAGAAAAAAGCCTAGTCACAAGGAAGCTCAATCCTTACTATGCATTCCCATGATGCAAGGGGCTTAGGCCACAGGTGACATGGACTCTAGTATTGACCCTCAATTTTCTTACCTCATCTTCAGGATCAGGATAAGGTCTCTTGCAAATGCAATACAGTCCAAAAAAGTTGTCATTATATTTATTGCCTGAATTTAACTTTCCTTTTTCCTAAAAGTAAGATGATACTAGTTTCAATAAACAATATGATCTTAATTTTAATTGCAGAAAAAGGATATACATCATGAAAATTATCTTGACATTACAAAAAATGTCTGCCCAAAAGGAAGTCTGTCCTTTAAGACAGCAGTGTCTTACTCAAATAGAATCAGGGGCTACTAAACAAAATGTAAGTATCCCACGGGCTGCACATTTATTGACTTTGAAAACCACACAGTAGCATTATCTATGTTTTACTGTATTGCTATTTATTTTGTTAAATGTTTCCCATTACATTTTAATCTGGTTAGAGCCATGCTTGGAAAAGCTATAGGTTCAGGGGCTGGATGCTAGAAAATTTTGCTTTAAGATATTTTCAAAACAGCAAAGTTCAGCCCTTCAAAGAGAGCTTTTGTTAAGATAAAAGGAAAAAGAAAAACTTCCTTCTTACTCTTTCCATTAGTGGCAAATCTTGGCTTCTCAGTAAGATGGAGTAAATATTTATTATAATTAATAATCAACCTTTCACAGATTAACGGGACAGATTGACTAACCATCTGACCTGAGCAAAAGACTCAAACCTAGACGAATCAGAATGGCAACGTGGAAAACTGAATACCCAAGACCACAGACAATGGGAATTACCTTGAACTAAGAAAGGGAGACTGAAATCCTGGTGGAATTTCAGATCTCATCTAATGCCCAGCCAGACTGATAAAGGGTCCCAGAAAGGCAAGACAATAGTCCTACTTCTTCAAATTAACTGCCCTTCCTCGAACAGCAGAGAGGGAGATAGTCCAAAGCCTTTAGGAATCAAATAATGATTAAATGATTTAATACCTTTTAATTTCTTTTTTAATGTAACATTTTTTTCTTACTCCAGAAAATCTGCTGAGTAAACCTATATTTCTGTCAACTAAGAAAACTTTACGTATGTAGACTGAAACCCTGTCTACCTTTAGTAGACAGCTTCATGAACTGCTGTGTTTAGAACAATTCATCACTAACCCTATGGTGATGGGTGTCTCCAAATGAGACTAGACTCGTCAGATAACAAACATAAGGGATTATTACTAGGTCCATACCCAAAGTCTTTCCAGCTTGCAATTTACTGGCATAACCTTCAAGATCCCAGGGTCATCCTTCATACTATCGGTTAAAGAACAGGACTTTATCATAGGATCAGCCAATAAGATAACGAAAAGTACTAAAAAAATTCTTTGTTCACATTAGATTCAACGCTATTTATTCAAATTTTAAAATGGTAGCCTTTCCTTAGAAAGGTCTAGGGCATAAATTCAACAAATTCAATTTGATATGCAACATACTTTAGTAAGGTACTTTAAGCAGTTATCTATTTTTTAGTTCCTTTAATTTTGTTCTAAACTGTAGACTTTGATGACTTTACCACCTAGCCTTGCAAACAAATAATAATGAGATTAGATTCTAATGCAGATTAATCTAAATGCTAAAGGCAATTAGAAACCAATTTCCTTTCTGGCATCCAATTGCAACTGATTTTATTAAATGACTGAAAAATCTTACTTACAGGAAGTAATTTGCATTCCAGGTTTTTAAACTTGCTATTTCCACAATCACAGCGAAAATTTCTGAAACAAAGGAGAAATAACAACTTCACTTTATTTTAAAAATTTGATGTCTTATACTTCATGTTCAGGAGTCAGGTTACAGTCATCCTTCATTTTTTTGGAAAGTGGGCTTGGTTACTATGACCTGATCCCTAAACAAAAGTAATAAGGAAAAAACTGTATAATCCCCCAAAATAAAAAAAAGCCAAAAAGAATGCAGAAATAAGTAAAATTACTACAGACAAAGATCACTTGCTGACCCTAAGTATGTAAATTTAAACAAATGTAAATCAATTTGTACTTTAACAGTAATTTTAAAAAGTGTTCCCCAAAACTAACCACTATTAAAAAACCAATACTGATTACATTGCTTCATTAGCACACATCAGCTTTAATCACTTTTAAGCCTTTATAAGATCATCTTTAAAAGAAAAAGTTGGGGCTGGAGGAAATACAGTTGAGACTCCAAAGTGTACCTCTTTGGATTGGTGTTAACATTTAAGAACTAATCCAGATATTCTGGTGCTCTCTGAACAACTTTACCTTTTTGTATATAGCTCAAATAGTTTATGACTTCCATGGCATTCATAACTGCATGCTAAACAAATTCCTGCTGGTTCTTCTCCTTCTGGAGTGCATGTGCTGCAGGCATACAACGCTTGTCTTTTTACGGAGCCCTGCAAGATGCACAAACAGGAAGAAAAAAATCACCAAGAAGCCAAATTCACTCAAAAGTAGTACAGCTGGCACTAAACACTCTTTGTGATCTACATAATAAATGGAATTTGATTCAAAACCCATAGAAATCTGTAGTTAAGATCTTCCCATACCAACTTACAAGCCTATTTTTTAAAAGTACAACAGTACTATAAAAGTTCAAAAGAGAAAGCAGGTACAGTGGAAGGAGCACAAGCTCTGGAGCAAAAGGACTTGAGTTGAAATCTTGCCTCTGACACGAACTACCAATGTAACCTTGGACATGACACCTTACTTTTCTTGGCTTCAGTTTCCTCACCTACAAAATGAAGGCCTTAGTCTAGATGGCTTCTAAAGTTCCTTTCAACTTTAGATCTATGACTATATGATCTCCATATATGTACCAAATAGTATATTGAGATTTTAGTATTCGTTTCATTTAGGCCCAAGCCTACCTTTTAACCATGTAGTCTACCCTCTCTCTGTTTCAGTTAACTCTATCCTTTCAGTATTTTTAAATATGCTTTATAACGACCAGTTTCTGTATCTTACGAGTTGTGTCACAAATCATCACAATTGCTTCCCATTTAGAAAGCCCTTTCTCACCCACCAAAATTCATTCTTCAAGGTCCAGCCCAAACCGTACCTCCTCAGTAAAACTTTTATTGACCCCTTCAATTCGAAATTCTCTCTTCCTCTTCAGTCCTAAAATTCACTATCTGTTTTGCTCATTTTGCACTTACCATTACTACCTAATATTTCCAGTCATTTTTTGTGTGTACATGCCTCAGTTCAGTCCCCAACTTCAAAAATCCACGAAGAATCATGTCTTAAACATATCTGCATAACGTTGATGTTCAATAAAAGTATTTTATTAACTAAACTACACAAAAAATGAGCCGTTATGGTCAAAGTTCTGCCAAAAAATATTTGTTCCAACCCTTTTAAAAATTCTAAAATGAATTAGGGAACTGCTCTGCTTTAATAATTATAATCTGTGATAGGTAACCGAATATTTGATGATTGAGCATCTTTTAGTGCCTCATTATCATCACTGCATATCAAGTATGATTATAAAAGATTATAGGAATAAATGTGGATGATGCAGGGGTTGTGTAGAATCCATACTTGCCCCTAGACATCTTGAAATACACTTTTTGTATTAAAATGCTGATACTACTTGCTTTATGGCTTAAATCCTTCATAAAAATGGGAAACGGCAAAATAAATTTAGCTAATTTAGTGTTAGTTGGGTTCTGGTTAATCAACATTTTACAATGTTGGCATTTTTGATTCTGGTTTGGTTTTTTTTTGCTAGGCAATGGGGTTAAGTGACTTGCCCATGGTCACACAGCTAGTTAAGTGTTATGTGTCTGAGGCCGCATTTGAACTCAGGTCCTCCTGACTTCAGGGCCGGTGCTCTATCCACTGCACCACCTAGCTGCCCCTCATGTTGGCATTTTTGAGAACATGAAAATAACTAATCATCATATCTTCATCTCAGAAAATGCTTGGTCTACTTAGATATTTAAATCCGAAAATTTTCTTTATGGAAGAATAATGCCTTTTCCCCTCTCTCTTCTACCAGTCAGGAAGTTACAGAACAGGTTTTTGCCTACCCACCTGTTACTACTAATCAAGATTTTTTTTAAAATCACCTTTGAGGTGTTTAGCACAGCCCTAGGTGCCCTCTTATCATAAAAGGATAACAGGTAATACTCATTAAGATCAAGGCCTGAAGTATACATTCTCTAAGTTAAAAAGAAAGTATTGCCTCCAAATCCAAAAAAGATCCTGATACTGAGAATTATTATTTAATGCTGCTTGCTGCAGCTTACACATTTCTCAATGGCTGCTGTATTATGATCTCAGTCCACATCAAATAATGTCTTCAAGTCCCTTTCTCTCCACACTCCACTAAGCTTTCTGGTCCTGGGTAGTCATCTCTACCAATTTTAATTCTTCTAGTTAGTGTCTAGCCCACTTCTGTGTACTCCTGGAAGGTAAAGGGGAATCTCTTTAGCCTTAATTCTTTTGCAGCAGTCCAATGCCAAATCTGCTTTTTTTTTTTTTTCCAACTACCTGCTCTCCTAGTTCCTGTCTAATGTTTACAGGAACCGTGTTAAGGCAGAGCTTCTACAAATGACTCATTTCCACAAAATACATTACATTTACAAAACTACAGACAGGGGATATGCAAGAAACCTCACATCCCACAGAAGCCCCAACTATGGGTCTGGATATTTGCCTGCTAAGAATTTACTATCCATTCTTGCTGTCCCTAGGATAGGGAAATGGGATGGGGGGGGTGGGAGTGGGGGCCAGGATAAAAGAGCTGAACCAAAAGAGCAGAAAATTATGAGGGGAGGGAAGAGGGAGAGAAAAGGGGGGGAGGGAGAGCAAAGCAGGGAGTGGGATTTTTAGTGACCCCGAGAATAAGAAATAACAGGAAGACAGGATCCCAGCTAAGGTGAGGAAGACTAAATAAGGGCTGGGAGGTCCGGAGGGAAGGATAATTGGGAGGAAAGGCAATGGAGAAGATAATGTTGAGGGGTATGCTACTGAGTGGAGCGGACAGGCCACCCTACCCATGAAAGTGGGTGGGTGAAGCACAGATGGAAGAAGCCTTGGGCAGGGAATAGAAGTCCCGAAGAGGAATGATAGGCCAAAAACCATTTTTGGGTGGGTGGGAGGGGAGATGCAGAAAGGGAATGAATGAAGGGATCCTGAGAAGTATGGTAGGGGATGCTAGGAAGAGAGGGAATCTCTGTGCATTTTCACTGGCTATCCCCTCAAGTCTCAAGACTTCAAGCTAAAAGAACCTTCTGCAAAATGCCTCTCCTGATCCCCTTAATCCTTGTGTCTTTCCCAGAGATTATACTTTATCCGGTATTTATTTTATTGTACTGTACACAGCAGTTTACAAATTGTTGTCTCAAGTCAACAAGCATTTATTAAGTACCTACTATGTTCCAGGCATTGTGCTCAGGAGCAAAGGCTTCAGAAGCCTATCCTTAGATTAGAAGATCAAAAGCAATCTGGCTGTGTGATGTCCTTGGAGGGCAAGGACCATGGTGTTTTTAGTTTTTCCTTCATTTCCTCAGCTTTGTACAGTGCCTGCAACACCGGAGCTTAGTAAATGCCTGCGGACTATCGGATCTCTAGGAGACAGCATGGACTGAAGAAGACCCTGAAAGGCAGAAAAGCCTTTAAAAGAGAAAGAAGAGTGGTCTAACCCAGGAACCAACGGATTGTTAAGTGGAAGAGAAGACAGGTTAGGAAATGAGGAAGACAGGCTGGGAATGGAGGAGACAGGATAGGAATGAGGGAGCCGTTTGGGAACGGGAGTCGAGTTGGAATGGGAAACAAGTTAGGAATGGGAGAGCATGCTGGCAATGAGGGAGACAGATTGGCAAAAGGCGAAGATTGGGAATGCGAAGTTGGGTTAGGAATGGGGGTGGGTTGGAAATTGGGGAAATAGATTGGGAATGGGAGGGTCGGATCGGAAATAGAAGGGTCGGGGTGGGAATGGGGGAGACAGACTGGGAAGGGCGGGGCAGGTCGGGAATGGGGGGTCGGGTTGGGAATCCGGGAGGGGAATCCCAGAGACCTAGGTGGGCTAAAGGCGGAGGATTCTGGAGGGGGAAGAGCGGGTCAAGCACGGGAGTGGGGACTTCCTAAAGGGGAGGTGAACAGGCAAAGAATGCGGGGTGTGGATCTCCGTGGAGAGAACGGGCTGGGAAAGAGAGATTCCCGGGGAGGAGAGAACGGGCCAAGAACAGGCACGTGGAGGACGGGGCGAGAATGGGAGGATCCAGGGCGATACTCGGAAGAGATCTTGGAAGGGGAGAAAAGGCCGGGGCCGAAGGAGCCCAGACTGAGCCCTGGAGGGCGGGGAGCTGGAGGACCTCGCGCGGGAGGCGGCCGTGGGCCCCCTAATCTCGGCCCCTGCCGTCCCCCCCCGCCCACCTGCGAGTAGGAGCACTTCTCGGAGTCGCTGCCGCCCAGCACGGCGCAGGCCTCGTTCTCCAGTTCTTCATCCTCCTCCAACACGTCCACCAACGATACCACGGGCTCCTGCTCGGCCGGCCCACCGCCGCCCCGCTCGGCTCCCGCCATACTCAACTGTCAGCCGGCAGGCCCGGGACTCAACATCGGGGGCGGCGGGAAAACTGCGCGCGAGGGGCGTAGCCGGAGACGGCGGAACCCCGCCCCTCCACCTCCAGAAACCAATCAAAGCGTCGGAAGACGAAGGCGGGGAGCTGGAGGGAGAGCGTAGGCGCCCACTGCGGAAACGGAAGTTCAGGGGAGGCGGGAGGCGCAGAATGCGCAGGCTTCTTTTTTTTTTCCCTCGTTGTAGTCGCTTATCCCCTCCCCTTTTCCTCTTCCCCCCTCCCTAACCCTCCCGGCTCCCCTCCCCCTTGTGGCTGCGGCGGCGGCAGGGGCAGCGGCCGCTTCCGTTTCCGGGTCGCCTTGGTGGCGGGCGGTTGAAGAACTGTCGTCATGGAGCTTCTGGGAGAGTTTGTGGGACGAGACGGGAAGCAGCAGCGGCTCCGAATAACTTGCGAGGTGCCGAGTGAGTCTGGTCGCTTCCAGGGACTGCTTTCGGGATTGGCGCAGATGAGGGAGCAGGTGACCGAGCTCCTCAAAACTGTGGAAGGAAAAGAGGTACGGGATCCGGCGGCGGCTGGAGGCTCCACCGCAGCTTCTGAGGGTGAGCGAGGACGGCGGCCGCGGCGGCTCTGTTGCCCTGGCAACGGCGGGGGCGGGGGTCTTGGGCGGGGCACTTTGTGCTGTGGCGGGGGAGTGGAGGAGGAGGCAGATGGCGGTCTGAGCCCCAGGCTGTCGCACGCCCCGGAAGGGCGCGTGGTCGGAGTGGTTGACCTCAGAGGAGGGGGTCTGGTGGGAAGGGGCTGGCCAGGGGGAGAAGGATGGGCTTAGAATTCTAGCTTTAAAATGTTGGAGGGGCCCGTCCAACCTTGAGTCCTCTGTTCTCCCTACGCTTACCTAATGTTGCATTTACATTTAGTCGGGTTCCTTTTGTCCTTTGAGGCCTGTATGTCCATTTTTTGGAAAAAAAAAGTAGCTAGGATAATTGAAAAAAAGTAAGAAAGGAAAAATTAATAGTAAACATTTATGTAGAGTGTTTTCAGGTTTCCTTAGGACAACCCTGGGAAGTCGGAAGTGCAAGTATTATCCCTGGGTTTGTTTTTTTTTTGGTGAGGCAATCAGGGTTAAGTGACTTACCCACGGTCACACAACCACGTGTCTGAGGCCGGATATGAACTTAGGTCCTGACTCTAAGTCCGGAGCTCTATCCACTGGGCCGGTAAGCTGAGGTTCAGAAAGGTTAAATTGTTTGCCCAAGGTCACACAGGTTACAGGATACTCAAATCCCTCTCCTCTGACACCAAATCATTTGCTCTTTCCACTATACAGAGTTGCTTTACTGAATATCATCTGTGGTACAGTGTAGTACTTTTGAGCATCTGCTATGGTGAAGTGTAGTATTTAGAGCTTCTACTGTGGTGCAAGGTGGTTCTTACGGCATCTGAGTACTTTGAACCACACAAAACTGCTATTCAGAGCATCTACTAGGGTAAAGTGTGGGACTTGGAATATCTACTGTGGTGAAGTTGAGCTGCTGCAAGTACTGTACTGTACCTTAGTAGTGGATGCTCAGTAAAGCTACTTTGTGTGGTGGGAAGAAGCATAAGCACTAGACTGCACCACTGGAAGGTGCCTTCAAATATCCAGCTAGGAAAGGGATGTAGAGAACAGAAGTGACTTGTCTAATTTGACACTGGTATTAGTAGAGTCAGGATTCAAATTCAAGTCTTCTGATTCTCAATCCAGGCTCTTTCCAATGCAACACTGAAATCCTAAAAAAAAACAAAAACCAAAACTTTAAAAAAGTCATATTGTTAGTGTTGGCACACAGATCCTTCCATGCCCTAGTAGACAGTTTTTCAAGTTGTTGTAGTGGGGGAAAAAAATTCATGCAGTGATACATCTTTCTGAATGTAGTGAGGCTGAACCATCCACAAGGGGTCCTTACCAAGCCCTTATCTTTCCTGCTTGTTAGCACATGCCTGTGAGGATAGCTTTCAAGAAATGAAGGTCGGTAAGTTCAAATCCGGCCTCAGACACATGATACTAGCTGTGTGACCCTGGCCAATCACTTGATCCCAGTTGCCTCACTGAAAAAAAGAAAGAAAGAAAGAAAGAAAGAAAGAAAGAAAGAAAGAAAGAAAGAAGGAAGGAAGGAAGGAAGGGCACATCTATACCAAGATGAGGCAGAAGAGAAAGACTTAAGTGGAGGTGTCTCACATATTTCAATGGTCAAATAAATGGGCAAACTGAGGCACCAATCCTTAAATTGTTTACCCATGTCATATAGGCACTGTACTTTGTGGTTGGACGTAGTGCCCAAGTTGAATTGTCTGGTCATTTTCTTTGCTGCCAATAGTACTTATTATTTACTTAGACACAGGTAGGTTGTTTAGAGTGACTACCTCAGACATTAGAGTCTTGCCTCAGACATTTACTGCTATGTCACCTGGGGTAAGTCATTTAACTTCTCTTAGCTTCAGTTTTCTCATTTGTAGAAGCAGGCTAATAGCACTTATATCACAAAGTTGCTGTGAGGATCAAGTGAGATCATATGTATGTATATGTATAAATGTACGTGTGTGTATATGTACATATATACATATACATATATATATATATATATATATATATATATATATTAGTTACATGCTTGCTATTACCACTTATTATTAGCATTATTTCTCACACAGGTATATAAACCACTTAAAAATATATGGGAGCAGCTAGGTGGCACAGGAGGACCTGAGTTCAGTCCATCCTCAACACTTGCCACTTACTAGCTGTGTGACCCTGGGCAAGTCACTTAACCCCATTGCCTAGCCCCCACCTCCCCCCCAAAAAAATATATATAGAATGATTATGATGTTCTTCCCTACTTGTATCCCTTATCCTCACATCTTCAAATCTGAATTCTTAAATTGAATTCAGTGAGATACTTGATTAGGCAGATTTATAATCCTCTGTGTCTGTTAGTACTTGGACTTATCATGCTGTTTAGAAGTTTAAGAACATTAAAGTCCATCTCTTTTTCTGTGCATTATAGAATATGCTTATAGAGGATGCTTATAGAATAACATGTGGCCAAGTAAATTTTTGTTTTTATGTATGGATAGGTAAATTTTTATTCCAGTTTTATATTTTGAACAGAAACATGGGTTGAAATTTTCTTTCACCAGATGAGCCTCATCCCTTTTGACTGCAATATAAGTTTGTTGAATGATAGACCATAAAGTTTTAGAGTCTTAGTACCTCAAAGATATTTAGTAATATTACTGTTAGGGCAGCTAAGTGGCATGTTGGATACAGTACCTGGCCTGGAGTCAGGAAGACTCATTTTTCTGAGGTCAAATGTGGCCTCAGATACTTACTAGCTGTGTGACCCTGGGCCAGTCACTTAACCTTGTTTGCCTCAGTTTCCTCATCTGTAAAATGAGCTGGAGAAGGAAATGGCAAACCACTCCAGTGTCTCTGCCAAGAAAACCACAAATGGGGTCATTAAGAGTTGTACACTACTGAAAAACAAATCGATAACTAGTACTGTAGCTTGATTAGTTGTCTTAGGACATGATACTGAGATCAAGGTGGTAGTTTCCATCCTTGTATAAACCAGTTAGTATGGCTTATGAACCAGGTGGGAAGCAGCTGTGGTTCATAGCTTCAAACTCTATTCCTAACTTCTTGAAATAGCATGCTGTTGGCTGATTGCTCATAAGGGCAAGAACCACTTCCCCACCTGAAAAATCAGGAAAAAAAAAACCTCTATCAACAAGTTAATAATGTCATATTTGTATAAAAGAGCAATTTTTAAAATTCAGGAATAGAATTAAACATTGCTAGATTATTTACCTCATAAATTTAAAAGAAGTACATTTAATACTTCAAAAGTAATAGAGTGTGTGTGTGTGTGTGTGTGTGTGTGTGTGTGTGTGTGTGTGTGTGTTTACCCCAGAAGTGAAATAATTCCATTATGGTACATTATAAAATGCTTTGTAATTTTAAATGTACTTTATGTACATTCTCTCTTTTAGTCTCATTATCAACCTCATTAGCTATCCTTCAAGAATACTGTCATACAACAAATATTTGTTATTTTAAAAGGTGAAGATGACGAGGCTGAAGATGAAGAAAGTAACACTCATAGCAAAATTTACTCACCTGGACCACCTGCAAAACGGATAAAACCCTTACATTTTGATAATAGTCTTGAATCTAGTTTTGGAGTAAAAAACTTTGGCTAAATCTTGATATAAATATTTGGTATATATTGAGATTTTGTAAAATTTGTACTTGATTTTGGAAATGCATGTGTTTTTGCCTTTTGGGCTACTCTGTCAAAGGAAAATGTTTCTTCTGTGTATTGCCAACAAAAAAAAATATTGATGGATGTTTGGAAATAAAAGCAGTCCTCTTGGGTGAGATTATCATTCAGTCAGCAAGCATTTATTAAGCGCCTCTTAGATGCTGGTCACTGAGGATACGAAAATTTAACAGTTTCTTCCCTAAAGGAGTTTACATTCTACCAAGGAAATATAACATGGACACAGATACGGAAGTACAGGATACCCTAACATCTGGAACTAGAAAGAACTTCAGAGGCCAATCTGAGCCAAGGTCTTTATTTTACACATCTGAGGCCTGGGGAATTAAGCAACTTGCCCAAGTCATACACAGAACCTGCAGAGTTTGAACCCAGGTCTTCTGATGCCACAACCATTTCTCATAACATTATAGTACATTGCCTCCACATATACAAAATAATTTTGAGGGAAAGAAGAGTAGACTAACAACTGGGGATATATAAGGAAAGGCTTCTTGAAGGAGGTGGCCCTTAAGCTGTACCTTAAAGGTGAGCTAAAGGTTCAAGACTGAGAGCTGTTAAAGAAGAGTCCTCCCAGCACAGGGACTGATAGCCTGTGCAGAGAGAGAGAGAAAATGACATGTTGCTTATAGGGAAGAAAAAGTAGGCCAATTTAGCTAAAAGAAAGGCTAAGAGAGTGGGGAGTCAAATGATCTGCCTGCAAAGTTAGGTTGGATCCATATTGTGAAGCTCTTCAGTATAAATTTTAAATTAAAAAAAACCTGACGATATGTTTCACATGGTTTGTAAAATCATCCCAAGTAGCAACTTAACATTTTTAATTTTTCTAAAATAACAGGTTAAATTTGAATAATGTTCCATGGTGACATAT